CATTGTAATTACAAATTGACTAGGTTCTCTAAATGAATTCTTTTTAGCTTGGGTAGCCATGATATACTGCTAGGTGTCACTCATGGCTTGTGGAAGCTATGTGAAGACTAATTATAATTAACCGTCACCAATAGGGAGAATTGTATGGAGGGATATAATTCACACTTGATTCAGAGTGAATCATTCATACCCACTGCCTTACTAATTAGAACCTATAAGATCGCACACCGAAAAGGAATCGATTGGGAAATTTTGAAGAGAATGAATGATTTTGTGACTTTGTCAAAGTTAATATGAAAGTCAAAGGTCAAAGGTCAAACAATTGACCCGACACATGAGAAGGCCAACTAAGGATGACCGGGACCAACACTCGTTAGACAAGTGAGTGATTGAATTAGTCAAGTCACTAGAGTAATTCAATTAATTAGATTAATTTTATTATTCAATTAAAGTTATGAAACTTTAATTAAAGGTCTCATATGACTTGGAAAATCAAAAGGGATTTGACCATATGGACTTAGGCACATATGTGACACATTATAGGATTAATGTGTTGGACCAAGATAGCAAAAGATGACATACAAAAGAAGGGGGGGCGGCTACACTAGTGCTTGGGGGCAATTTTTTCACTCTTGTGACATTTTTTATCTTATAGGTGTGTAGCTATGGAATCCTATCATCCTAGGGTTTTTCAAGTTGGTGAAATTGGAAGAGAGAAAACATAAAGCTCTCTCTCCCTAACCCCTTGAATCTATCACATCAAGTGAAGGTGCTAGCACCACTCTTCACTTGTTGTCTACTCATTCCCTTATCCCATTCAATCCTTGGTGAAGAGCTTTAGGGAGATGCATATCTTTATACCTATTTGGAGAGCTACAAGGTGGAGAATCAACATTAAAGGGAGAGCCAACAACAAAGGGACCACTCCCTCTACTTGAACACCATTCTTGGTTTCAAGATTCGCTCTAAAGGTATGAACATCTTATCTTTATCTCAAATAGGATTTATAGAGTTTTTGGTGCACACTTTCATAGACTTATAAAGATTGGGACCAAATGAGACTTGCATGAATCCCTAGCTTATTTAATGCTTCCACTCTTACTTTTTCATATTAAATATGGCATGCTAGGTGATTTATACTCTCAAAGTTTGGTTGTATAGTTTTTAGAAATCTATACACAACACCATCCCCACAATATTCCTTTCACATATTTCAATAGCCATAGTGAGCAAGAGATCAAGTCCATTACTTGAACACCTTAATAGGTTTCAAGATTCGCTCCAAGGGTAACCATCTTTCATCCTTTAAAAGTAGATTAAAAAGTCAAATGTGCAATTTTCCTAAAATGATTGGGACTAATAGGACTTATATGAGTTTCTAGTTTTTTGATTTTGTTTCCGCTAATTTAATATGAGATATGTTAATACTAGATAATTCATTTTTCCTATACATAATGAGTTTTGAGAAATACCCAACACATAATTTTTCCTTCAGTTGACCACTCATCCTATGTATGTTATGCTATTTAGATGTAGAGAGCTATGGAAGAGACTATGGGATTGCATTATTACTCATGCTTATAGAGAGACCAATTGTGTTGCTGATTTTTTAGCTATGTTGGGGCACCAGAAGGATTTGGGCTACCATGAGTTTTCTGCTCCTCCTGATCAGATGAAGAGTATTCTTGATGAAGATAAGAGTGACCTTTTAGTGTTGTTTTGGGCTCTAGCCCCACTGAACCCAAAAAATGAATTGAAGTGAATATGCTTCATTAAATAGACATATGCGAATTAGGTTAGTTGGCTAAGATAGTATACCCATTTATTTGCGTCAATCTCTCTTCCTATACATTAGAGTAGAATATCGTTTTGTAAAAAAAGAAAGAAAAAAAAGAACGCTTCATTAGATATAAGATAGCCCAAAAAGACTACGTACGATAACTAGGATATCTCGTCATTACCATATTAACTCTTCATTTTACAGATGCCATCTCTTTATACATCAATGCATGACCCTAGTTGTTATCTTGTAATTGGCCTATTATATCCTCGTAATTGCAAATTCAGAGCCCATAGACACTCCAAGTGGATCAAAGTTTTTGGTCAAGTTTAAATATCAAAGGTCGGTTCCGGAGACATAAGAAGAAGAAAACAAAAGACATGGTCCTATAATCAAATCTGTTTATATATTATATTCATAACTTTGTAGGGTCTACATCCAACATGATGTTGCAGACTGCCGGGCATCAACCCTGCCCATTAGTACTATCACTTGAATGAACGGCAATGGTTCCAATGATGCATGTAATAACATATTTGATGAGGAATTTTAAGGCTAAATTAGAATGAAATTTGTATGTTTTGAGTTCATAAATTGATAGTCACTGCTTAAGTGAGGGGAATTAACATCTTAATTATTTGAGCTACAAGTCTTTTTGCAACTCGCCTCTCCCGATTACATGAATAATAAAAAAAGCGTTGTTTGACCGTTGATCCAATCTTGTTTTTGGTCAAACTAATACATCGCTGCCGTTGATTGTCCTAATCCTCTCTCAGATGGACGATACCAAACGCACCAATGAATTTGATTGAATGGCCAGTGAAGGTCAGAAACTTATCCCGACGTGGATATGACTTTGTGTGATAATGACCATTGCTTTGCTTACCCTACAGCCTAAAACAGTACGCATATATCATACTTTGCTCTGAGAAAAACTTACCCTAACTAAGGTTGTCCCATGTTGAATTATGTGTAATTGATTTGAAATACCATTATAAATATATCAAAATCCTTTAAATTTCGTCTCCCTTTCCTCCCCACGTCACCGTCTAAATAAATCCAAGAGTCTAGATTAGATATTATAGCTGCATGTTTCTTGCCTAGTGTTTTGCTATGCTTCTCAATGTTGGAAGCTCCAATATTATTTCTGCCTATTTTTATTTCATCATGTGATATACGTGAGAACAAAAGGCTCGTCATGTGAAAAACAAAAATTTTATATGTCGATAACGTACATGGAGTCAACAGATTAGACGGTCAAACACTTTTTTAAATAATAGTCTTCATATAATAATTATGTATCTTCCTTCTTCTTTCATGATGCTTTGAATTGTGTACCTCTCTCCTCGGATTATGATAAACTCATTTTGAATAATTTTATAAACCTACCATTATAGCCAGTACTTATTTTCCAAACCAGATATAATTTTATAACCCTACTGATTTCGTAGAGTAAATCGCATATATATATATATATATATATAGTCTTTTTCTATGATTTAATAATCGAGGCTAAACTTATAAAACATTAGATTAGTCAAATAATTTAATGGAGTTTGTAGTTTAGGGGAAAATGAATAATTAAAGAGGAAGAAGAAGGCCGGACAATAGGTTAACAGTTGGAGAAACTGGGAGTTGAAAAATGAAAGTCAGATTAGCAGCCACGATTCCATTAACTGCATGGGAAGTCACTACAGAAAATTTGCAGAAGAAAACGAAGGGTTTTTGGACACAACACAAAACACGCCTCAATGTCAACAGTAAGAAGAAAAAGTAAAGGATCAAATGAACCAATAAGTGAGGACCACGTGCTTCCAAAGAGCTTCTATAAGCTGACATGACTCCTCTGCTGCTTTACAACACAGCCCAATAGCTCACAGTCGCAGCGCCCTGTTTTCTACACAACCACTTACGTGGCTTCACCTCATTGGCTTTGAGAGTTTACAGTGGACGAACTTTGTCACTTTAGGAGTCTCCCTCAAAAGTACGAGACACATTTGTGTGAAACGGGTTCACTAAGAATACGAGAAATACTTGTGTGAAACTTGGATAATATTACTTTATTATCTTAATTAAACATGATATGCTAAGCGCGTTAAATTTTTTACGCGACACTCTATAATTGATCGAAAATAGTAAAATAATATTATTCTCATTCCACACGAATTTTTGTGCACGAACACACCAAGCTAGGAAAAAGGTAGGAAGAAGAAATAAAGAGAAAAGAAAAAGGAGCGAGGAAAGTAAAAAGGCATCAATCCACCACGAAAGGCAAATGGGTGCATAGAGCCACAAAGAAAGGTAGAGAGGTAAAGAGAGAGGGTGTGTAGTTGATGGGTGGGGCCCAATCTTTACTTATCGTCCCATCTACAACCACATCCTCCACCACCACCAAGAGACTAGACTATGTACTTCCATCCAATCAGCGATTGGATTTAATTAACGTGAAGCATTGAGACAACGATATCTTTCTCAAAGAGCCAGCGAATATGCCCAGTTGACGGTGCACAAAATACTTTGCTCCTCCACCATCGCTTTTTTCTATTATCTATATTTTTTCATCTCCAATTATTTTAATGCAAAAAAATCTCTACCATAGTCTTCATTCAAAATAATGCTTTCTTGTGCGAAGGATGGCTGATATAAAATTAGGGTTACATCTAAATTATAATAAGAAGACCACATACGTATAACGTAATATTTTGAATAGCTCAACATGTTATGTTATCAAACTTAACACGTCAAATTATTAACTTAATAAGATATAGCAATTATCTAAAGATATGTAAAATCATCACCCTCATAATCATTAATATTTTAGGTACACTAATTAAGGGAAATAAATAATTAAGGAAAAATCCCTACCAAACCCTCCAAATAACTAGAGACAGTGTGATTCGCTATATGATAAACGGTGGAGATAATTTTTAAAATTTTATCCTATGGATGGCGCACAGGATAAAGCTCATCCAGAAAAACACCTGGCCCGTTGTAGGACATTACTATGACACAGAGGCTTGGTTGTATCGACATTGTCTACCCAAATTCAACGGCCCTGATTCACGATTTAAAGAAGCTATAAAGCATGCGAGCTACAAGATACATTAATGCGATGCTATTGCGAAGCACTGTAAAATTTCCTGGAGTTCCACGGTCCATATTGTTACAGATAGAATAAACACAGGGGAGCACAAAGAAACCCTAAAGATAGTATTATTTTACAGCTGCAAGTATATATGAGCCAACGCAGACCTCCTTTTTCTCTTTCATTAGACAAACCAATTTCCCTCATAAACTTTCTTTCTTGCATGATTTTTTAAATTTCTCTTAAATTAGTTTTAGCCGTCGTCGTCTCTCCATAAGCACAACACCAACAACAACGTGTAAGTGAGTACGACGTCGTAGAAGGAGATCATGTCTCGCACGTGCTCTCAGTGTGGGAACAACGGCCACAACTCGCGCACATGCACGGAAGCCAGCGGCGGAGGCGGTGGGGCCGCCTCGGCTGAAAACGGCATCATGCTATTCGGCGTGAGAGTCACGGAGGAAAACGCGTTCAGGAAGAGCGCCAGCATGAACAATCTCTCCCAGTATGAGCAGACCCTGCAGGCCGACTCAAACGGCGACGCCGGCTACGCCTCAGACGACGTCGTACACGCCTCTGGCCACCGCCGCGAGCGCCAGAGAGGTATTCTTTTCGACATCACCACTGATACCCCCGTATGTACTTTCTTTATTTTTAATTAATTAAGGGAATCATTGATTAATATTTCCAGCATCTTAGTTCGTGCCTTGATGCTTTGAGTATTATTTGTCTTTTGTGCGTCAATTAATTCTTCATTTTACTTTTACAAAGAAATAAATGTTAATGACATAAAATAATTTTTTTGTCAAAATGTGTGGTCGAGAATCACAATCGGTCGTAGAGCAGTAGACAATGTATCATTATCTAGCTAGCTAGCAATACCAATTTGACATGAGAAGGCCGCAGATCTAGTCTTTTCGACATCACCACTGATACCCCCGTATGTACTTTCTTTATTTTTAATTAATTAAGGGAATCATTGATTAATATTTCCAGCATCTTAGTTCGTGCCTTGATGCTTTGAGTATTATTTGTCTTTTGTGCGTCAATTAATTCTTCATTTTACTTTTACAAAGAAATAAATGTTAATGAAATAGAATAATTTTTTTGTCAAAATGTGTCGTCGAGAATCACAATCGGTCGTAGAGCAGTAGACAATGTATCATTATCTAGCTAGCTAGCAATACCAATTTGACATGAGAAGAATACTTTTACACATTTCATTGTTATTCATGAGTTTGTATATTAAATGTGTTATGTATTTTGAATGGTTGCAGTTGATGAATGAAGACATGGGCCAGCAGCAGCACCAAGAAACAGCAACAGCGTTGCCTTACCCACAACAGCTACAGCCACAAATTAATTTGGGTCGCCACATTCTTGGAGGGTTTCCAGTTTCGACTTTTCCGATGGCGCTGTCTCCGGGGGTCCTACCCGTCTCTGGTGAAACCTCATCAGTGGACAATCTGACGTCATCAATAGGACCAAATTTGAATTTACAGAACGACGTGCCGCAGCAGGCAAAAGGAGCACCAACTACGTTGTCGGCTAAGCTCATCCGTCCGATTCCACTTCATCCGGTGCTCCCTCCCCCATCTTCCAAAATGGCCGGTCTTAATTTGAATAACAAGTACACGCAGCCACCCACAAGGGATCCATCGCCTTTGTCGCTGAAGCTCGCAACGACGTCGTCCGAGGAGCAGTCACCTAATACGACGTCGTCTCACTCGTCTGCGTTTCAGGGCATGTCCAGTGGCTCAGATAGCATCATCAGTGTGGCTTAATTAAGTAATGAACAAGTTGATGCGGATGTATGTCGTACGTGTGTTATATATATATATATATATATATACGGCCGGCCGGCTATAGTGAGCTAGCCTAGCAGCATGATGGGAAATGAAGACTAATTATTGGTGGGCCTAAATCCTAATTAATTAGATCGATAAGATAAAAGTGGATTTGGATGGAGTAATTAGACTACTCTAAAAGGGGGTTAGGTTTATGTAGCTAGCTAGGTGATTTAGGTGATTAATTTCTTTTTTTGTATAGGGATTGGGTTGGGTTTAATTTAGAAAGAGTTATATTATAATTAGGACAAGATGGGATGTCGATCTCAGACTTCTCTCTGTGTGGGGATTCTTGTTTTAATTTTGTCCGCTTCCTTTTGTGGTGGAATGATAAAGAGCACCAGGTGCGCATTGTTATTTGGTCCTCTTCCCCTGGACCTTTTGCTTGCAGTTTCAACTACCACAAAAAAATATCTCAATATTCGATCTGTTTATGTACAACTTATAATATTTATATGTGTATACACATATTTTGTCGTCCTTGTTTTCTTTGAAACTAGCTAGCACTAGAAATCTTTCATATAATCAAGATTGAATCTTGTTTCATATAATACAATAAAATCGAAAAGCAACTTAAGTGCTCATGAGAAATACTAGGAAAATGTTATGAAAATCATATTTTATATACCACTTTGTGTATTGGTGGGTTAAAAAGTGGTATATAAAATACCATCTCCATAATATGACCTCAAATACTAAATAGGTGACGGTGGACTAATTGTTTATTAGTATTATAATATATTACGTACCTCTCGGATACAAATCCTTATGATTATTGAGGATAATCTCTCAAATCAATCAATCGGCAAGTATTATTTTCCAATAAGATAAAAGCAGTGTGGTATTTATGTATTACTAATAGGTCGTTTGGGATTGATTCTGGATAGGCCAAAAAGCACTTCTATGAAGAATCACTTCTTCATATAATCACTTTAAGTGATTTTAAGTGATTTAAGGGAGAAGAACATGGGAGCTGCTTCTCCCCAAAATCATTTAAAATCGCACGTGAGATGTGCCTCTTCCCCACAAGTGATTCTGGTCTACCCAGAATCACTCTCAAACGAGTCTAATTATGATAAATTTAGTATGTGGCAAAACACACACCGATTGAATCTACAGAGTGGAGTTCAGATTCAAAGAACGTTGGTTGCCATGCCACGTTATCATTTTAAAAGACAACGGAGTAAGGAGTTGTTGTCCACAATTTTTTTTAATCTTTTTCCATGCCATCACACACTTTACTTAAGGGTTTATACGTGGGTTTATATACATCAATTAATTTACGATACATCAATGAATGTCACAAACTAAGGGTTTTTGTGTAAATAACCTACAATTACAATCATCAACTTACATATAGATATGCATAAGTGAATATCAGATACATGAACAAGCTAGATTAAATATAAGACATCATAATTAACAAATTGATGCATGCAAGAGGACGTTCTTACAAGTATTATCTCAATACGTGCTGCTGATCGTTTTGGTTCTTGTGAATTTTGTCACGCATCCTTCTGATAAAATCTTCAGCTTTCCCATCCACATCCGCCACAGGAGATTCACCCTTACTATTCTTCTTCTTACGCGCATAGGATGACGATGACGATTGATTCTCTGTAATTGGTACTTCCATCACCACGGAGAAGGGCTTCGATTCGTTTCCTGGCTCCTGTGACCTTTTTGGGCTGGAATTTTGACAATGCGGGACATCTACTTTGGTCATTTTACAATCATGAGCAGGCTCAAGTGATTTGACGGACGACGTTGCTCCAAAACTGATGTTAGCCAGAGACAGAGATGAAAGTTTGATGATGTTTGCCACCAACATCATTGATTTCTCACATAGAGACATACATTTCTTCTTATTGCGTTGTCCACCCTTGTGTTTCATGGCTTCCTGATCGGTGAGCTACTTCGTTTTCCTAAGCTGAAATTGCAGCAAAGAAATAACAACGAAATATAGGGTTATGAACTTATGATGATCAGCTTATAATCGATACTCCATATATATAAACAAAATAAATATAACGGATATGTAATTGAAAAAAAGAAAAAAGGAAGCAAAGTCAAATTGTTCTGTTCTCTTCTGTGGGTTTTCTGATCAAACTAGATGATGATGGACACTATTTATTTGTATTGCAATGAGAAGGAAAGAAGAGTGGATTATCAATACTTTATAATACTTTATTTCCATTTTGAATATCCTTCGAAAAAGGTGGCAAAGGAGAACTAGATTCTGACATTTTATGAGTGTGTGCGCGCTGTCTTAATACCAAATGCTTTTACTTATACTTTAGTAGGAGTTTTTTTTTTAAAATTTTAATTTAATTTTTTTAAAGACGTTCCCTATTGGGAGGGGCGATAATATATTAGACACACACATAACACAGATGGTAGAACTCGACCCCAGGACCTTATATGAGAGAGTAATTACTCCAAACTATTATACTATTGGGTCCTTTACTATTTTAGTAGGAATTTAATTAGTCATCGAGCTAATAAAAGAAAGTTTGGTCATGATTCTCTCTGTTTTCCATTTTCAAGAGCCATTGCTGTCTCATCATTTGGCTCTTCTATCGCCACCGCAAATACAAACATATATCTTTTGGTCCCTCAAAACGTCTAGTGCCTAAGATCCAAATCTTTCTGTGCAGTTTGGTTGTGTTCACATTTCAAATCAACGGCATTTGCCTCATTTCATAATCTATGTGTTATCTGATGTAATGCCTTCAATTCTCTTTCATGGTCATCAATTCTAGCATAATTTTATCTTCTTTTTCTGCTAAATCCTCCTTTTTATCTTCAATTTCGTTTTCAAGCATGGGGCAGAAGTTGCTAGGAGACTCGGTGTCTCTCCTTGTTTCTTGGGAATTCGGTCTCTTAGGCACTTACTCGTAAACATGAGCATGTACACAATCAACTATTAATATCTCTAACCTAAACGGAAAGGTTCGTAAATCACATTATGTCAATGATCGTTTGGTCTAGTGGTACTCAATCTTTAATTTCTTAAAGTAAATTCGGATTTTAAATATAATAAACTACTATTGTTGAATTTAAAAACAAAAACAAAAACAAAAAGAGATTCCCAATTATTTCATACATGTCAAATTTGGCCTAATAAAAAAGGTGCCGATATAGGCCCAATAAACTAGCATTCAGGGAAAAAGCCCTAATCTAACCCAAAAATCAACGTGAGAGTGATGGCCTAACCCAAGTGTGGGGCCCAACAGCAATCCTACAGCCGTTAAAGCCCACCCTAAACTAAGATCATAATAATAATTAGGGTTAATTGTTTTATTAGTCTCTGAATTTAGACTCGATTTGCATTTGAGTCCCTTAATTTCCAAAATCGTTCCTGTGGTCCTTCAACTTCCAGTTTCGTTAGGACAAATGGTCCTGCCATCAGGTTTGTTAACTTTTATATTAAATGCAAGGGCAAAATGGTATTTTTGTATTAAATTAATTAAAATATGAATAAAAAATTAAAATTAAACTCTCTGTCTCTCTCCCCCTCTATCCCGATTTCTACTCTCTCCAAACTTGACTTTTTTTTTTTTTTGGTTTTTTATTTGATTTGATTTTATTGTTATTTTAAAGATATGATTTTGTATTATTTTTTTAGTTTTAATATAAAAATTATCATTTTGCCCATGCATTTAACAGAAAAAGTTAACAAAATTAACGGTAGGACCATTTGTCATAACGAAAGTGAAGTTAAACGATCATGAGAACGATTTTAGAAATTAATGGACTCAAATGCAAATCGTGTCTTAGTTTAGGGACTAATAAAATAATTAACCCTAATAATTAAGAAAAGGGAAAATCAGTGAAAAGTATAATTTTACCTTAAAAAAGGATGACAAAGATATTCCAAACAAATGATAAGCGATGATGAGTGGGTGGATTTAGAGCTTATTAATCAAACTACTCTTTAAAAACTGGAGCTTTCAGTACTTGTTTGTCTCCACTCCACTCAACTTAAACCCAAGCTTAAACATAATTAATTAGATTAGCGTCTCTAAATTAATTAGTCGGCCTGCCATTTAAGCCACGTCACGGACAAAACGACGCCGTAAGCCCCATAAAAAGCCCAAATATGAGGTGGCTAGCAGTCAAAACTCCAGGAACTGGTCCTCTCCTCTGTAGACTGAAAACCACAGTCAAATGGTCTGTTCCATTTCCCATCTACCTCAACCTCCACCATCGCCATCATCTCCACCACAAAACCCAAGCTCTTCGCTGCCCTAATTCCCACATCCAGAGAGAAAAAAAAAACCAGAAAAACCCTAAAAATGAAGATCTTTTTGGGCATTGTCTCACTGGTGCTCTGCAACTCCCTCCTCTGCTACTCCATTGAAGACGACCTCACTTGCCTTGAAGGGGTCAAGACCTCACTCACAGACCCACAAGGGAGGCTGAGCCAATGGGACTTGGGCAACAGGTCGGTGGCCTCCATCTGCAAGCTGGTCGGAGTGTCGTGCTGGAATGAGAAGGAGAATCGACTCATCAGCCTCCAGCTTCCTTCAATGGAGCTCGCCGGTGAGCTCCCTGAGTCTCTCAAGTTCTGCCATAGCCTCCAGAGCCTGGATCTCTCTGGGAACGCTCTCTCCGGTTCCATCCCTCCCCAAATCTGCAATTGGCTCCCTTATCTCGTAACCCTAGATCTCTCTAACAACCACTTCTCCGGTTCCATCCCTCCGGAGATTGTCAACTGTAAGTTCCTCAACACTCTCATTTTGAACGATAACCGTCTCTCCGGTTCTTTGCCCTATGAGCTTGGCCGGCTCGATAGGTTGAAGAGAATCTCCGTCGCTAATAATGGTCTCTCTGGTACGATACCTCCGGACTTGTCTAAATTTGAGAAGGATGACTTTGATGGGAACAGTGGGCTGTGCGGGAAGCCTCTTGGGTCTAAATGTGGTGGACTGAGCAGCAAAAGCCTCGGCATTATAATCGCCGCTGGTGCAATTGGTGCTGCTGGGTCTTTGATCTTGGGTTTGGGGATTTGGTGGTGGTTCTTTGTTAGGGCGAGTCAGAAAAAGCGAAGCTTTGATGGTGGTGTTGGTGGTGATAAGTATGAGAGTGGGTGGGTTGGGTTGTTGAGGTCTCATAAGGCTGTTCAGGTGTCTCTGTTTCAAAAACCCATTGTGAAAGTCCGGTTGGCTGATCTGTTGGCGGCCACCAACAGTTTTGATCCCCAAAACATTGTCATTTCCACGAGAACCGGTGTTTCATATAAGGCTGTGTTGCCTGATGGTTCGGCAATGGCAATTAAGCGGCTTAATGCGTGTAAGCTTGGTGAGAAGCAATTTAGGTCGGAGATGAATAGGTTGGGGCAGCTTAGGCATCCCAATTTGGTGCCTTTGTTGGGGTTTTGTGTTGTGGAGGAAGAGAAGCTTTTGGTGTATAAGCACATGTACAAT